AAAAATGGGTTTCATTAGGTATCACTTTCATTTCGGATTTTTAAAGTTTGAACATGTGTAGAATCATTTAGCTAAGCCCAACATCTGAATAAGGATGGCACAGGTCCAGTTTTACCCCTTATATATTGGACATGGGCCCATAATTGTTAACCGACTGCCCTTATTGTATCGTTTTCAGATTTAACGACTCACTTTCGAAACTCAACTATAATAACTCGTGAGCATGTAAATAAGTTAGAACTCTTTTTCTTTCATTATAGAGACGAACGAAATAGAAAACATAGTCACTATAGGTCAATCCTTTTAAAATAAAAATGAGGCGTGCCTTGCCAAACAAAAATGCACAAGCTGCGGGGCCCTCTATACGTGTTTGTAAAGTTGCTTAGACTCCGGGACGGGCCGTTTAGCAAAGTTTCACGGCCTTGCCCAAAATAACGATACGCCAATCGCTTAGGGCGCGTCTTTAATAAAATTACTTCCCTAAGTATGGGTGTGCATTTATGCAACCCAAATCCAAATCTCAACAGAGTCGAAACGTGTCTATGACCACGGGTACATTGATTGTGACGAGGTTCGAGATACGTTTTCACGACGTTGCAATTCTATTAAAAAATAATAAAAAAAGCGGTTTAAACTTAATAAAAGCACACAAGTTATAACATGTATTAAAATCAGATATTTAGCCATTATAACAATTTAAACGACCGTGCTAGAACCACGGGATCCGTGGGTGCCTAACACCTTCCCTCGGGTCAACAGAATTCCTTACTTAGAATTTCTGGTTCGCAGACTTCATTTGGAAAGTCGAAAATTTCCTCGATTTGGGATTCAAGATAAACCGGTGACTTGGGATACCAAAAGCCAAACCTTTCCCAAGTGGCGACTCTGAAATAAATAAATAATCTCATTTTCGAATAATGTCACTTAAAATGGAAAAACTCCCTCACGCATTTATCTTTCAGGGCAGGTGCGCAAAAAGGAGGTGTGACAACTCTCATAGTATTCGTCATTGTAGGTTTATGTTAATCCAGGTCAAAGATAAGGGGTGGAGCTAGAGTATTAGGTATGGTTTGAACGAACTCTATAGCTTTTGTTTAGATTTGTATTCTATTAGGAAATACATTAAATATGTATAAATATTTAATTACGAGCTTAATAAATAAAATGAGTTATGAGCAAGATCAGAACCCATAAACTTTAAATTATGACTCTGCCATCCAAAAAGTTGAATTATTTAGATATACTTTTTTAAATATGTAATTTTATTTGATTTTTGAAAAACATGAAAATTATATATCCAAATCACAAAAAAAAACTAGATGTTTTGACCGTTGTAATCGAATTCTTTAATACAAAATGAGAGGAGGGAGCAATATTTTCTTTTCGAAAAAAAAATGTTTGAGGAAACCATCCTAGACAATATTAGGCTTCTGTCAGTACTCTATTTTAAGCACGGACTTTTGTCATTAACTTCATTGTTGTGCAACTTCTCGTAATTTAGATTGGAGGAAAAAGAAATCCACATAGGTACCATGTAGGAAAACAAAGGTGGGATATGGAGATTTAATAGATGAGGGGCAAATATGATCCTAAAGTATAAGTGTAAGGATAAATATGTCAAAAAGTATGAAGAAGAATAAATGTAATCTTTTTTGAAGAATATAGCGATAAATATGATCCAGTATAACGGTAAAGATAAATATATCAAAAAGTACAATGAAGAGCAATATACCAAGTAGACGCATAAATATGACCCTTTTCCGCTCCCTAAATCATACACTTCATAGTCTAAACTCTTTCTGCAAAGAACCAAACAAAGGCAAATTCGACTTCCGCTCCACCGATTCCTAAACTCAGTTTCTTTCTACAGGTACTTCTCTCTTCTTCCATTAACTCCTCATCTTCTCTCTCTGTGTGTGTATTTTGATTTGCAATCTGCCAATTTCAGCTTCAATAGATTAGATCTGGATCGGATGATTGTTTCACGTGCTTTGATCTGTGTTTCGTTTGAATTTTACTCCGGTTTTAGTAAAATAACTCGGTCTATGTGAGATTCGCAAATCATAATGAGTTAGAAGGTTTGCAGTTGGTTGACCGGCATTGTGTAAATATACAAATTCTGATGAAAGCGTAATGGATGCAGAGGATTCATGTAGTTAATTATAACTAATTTTGAATTGATGTGATTGATCGACTTGCTTCTGGAAAATGCTTATGCTTTATCTGTTTGACTTGTTGACAATGATATATTTGTTTATTGACGGATCTATTATTTCTATAGAGCGATTTTAGTAGTGACAGAGTCAGAATACTAACAAGGGGATTCAAAAAAATGTAAATTTGCACAATAAGTGACACTTGGCTATCTAGGGGATTCATCAATTTGATATATACAAAAAAAGATGGTTTTGTCCCTGTCGATACACATAGCTATGCTTCTAGATTCTAGGAGGTGTAGCTTGTATGAAGTATCCCTTTTTTGCGTTTGGGATTGGGAAGAAGTGAGGGATGGTTGACAGTTTGCAGTTTCATGTGGTTTTCTGATTCTTTCCCAAGTTAGTTGCTAATGCTCTAGTTTTTCCTTCTTTTGGTAAGCAAGTTTCTTATTTGATCGTAAAGATAATTGGATTTATTGTAGTTTGTTTAGTCGAATCGCAAGAGAGGAGTTAAATTTCATGGGCAGGGTTTCCATTTAGTTGGGCTATTTAAAAAGTTGTAGGAATACCTTGCTTATTACCATTGGGCCAAGAATCTTTTTCCTCCATCAGCTCAAAGCTAACCGTGAGGCATTCGTTACTTCAAATTTTTACCAAGTTCGGAGCTCATAAGTATTTGACCTAGGATTCTTTCATTCTAGACCAGGCTATTGCAGTAGATTGGGAACTGTACTTAATAAACTATAGGATAGCTGAAATTGGAATGACCACCAAAGCTATTACAGGGACATCCCAATTTTTCGCTGGCATAGAATTAGTAATTAAAGTGTGTTACTGTGTTAACATGTGAAATACACGTGTTTTCCCTGTCCCACTTATGATCCATCTCCGTTTAGCTAAATGTTGGCTAGTTCGAAGTTCGTCCTATAAATGTACAACCTGGACTACACACGAGAAAAAGATCCTAGTATGAATCTGGTCCTTAGATTTAATCATGCTGTAAATGAGCTACTTGTGGTTTTTCTTTTCACATGTAATACTTCTAATTTTGGTCTTGACAAAGGCTATAAAAGTTTTGCAAAAAAGACGTCATGGCTGTTCCTTTTACCATATAGTTTCACAGCATGCTCACATTTCTGCTGAATAATTGGTAATTGTGTTCCTCATATATTATCCACATTTTTAAGACACATATTTTCTTCCTTATTGTAGTTCCATAACTATATCAGAGGAGTATGGAATCCAACAGAGGCAGCCAGAACGGAATTCAACTCCTTTTAGGTGCAGAGCAAGAAGCTCAACATATAGTCAATGCTGCCAGGACTGGTAATTGATTTCCCTTTTTTTAGGACGCTAGTTTTCTGATTCTTTTTTAAAATTGGATTTCTGTTAGTTTCACTAGCTGTAGTGCAGCAACCAGGAGACCTAGTTATTAGGCAACATGCATGTGCTATTTCAAGTCAACGGGCCATTGTTATAATTTCCTCCTTCCACATAATAACTTCTATATGCAATTCAGCTTTTTTCCTTCCTGCGTATGTGTGCATGGTAGATCCCTTAAGATCACGTTTTGGTTGTAGTATCACACTTTCTGAACCTATCACTCGGCAGACACTAGTTGCATTCTTAGTGTGGGGTACTTATTGAGGGTTTGTTTTCAGTCTTAACCAGCTCACTTCCAATATTAGGCAAGGTGGATGATTGTCATATGTGATGTACACTGAATAATTAAAATGTACTCCGAATGTATTTTCCTACCAATACACCACTCTTCCTTCACAGTTTTAAGTACACTCCCTTTCTCAACACTCACATAGTATTTCTGATTCAACTGCTACATAACTGCTCAATATGCATCTGTATGTCCAAAAGGGGATCAAAATTCATAAATAGGACATGTCTAGGAAGATGCAAAATCACGCTTTTCTTGTCGTGGATGGATATTTTCAAGAGGTAGATCAAATATGGGCTTAGGGAGCCTAAGTTATTGGATAATGGTAGCTTTCTGGATATCATGCAAAGAGTCAGAACTGTTGCAGACAAAAGCTCATATATTTATAACTTTCTGTCCCGTGTCTATCTTAAAGTATGAGCTGTGGGAATCGTCTCTGAAAGCACTGGGACTGCAATGGGTCAGTTGTATAGACAGGTTCTATTCGTGACTTTCGTATCATGTGCAGGAAAACAGGCTAGAATGAAACAGGCAAAGGAAGAAGCTGAGAAGGAGATAGCTGAATTTCGTGCTTATATGGAGGCCGAGTTTCAGAGGAATGTTGAACAGGTAAATAAGAAACAAAATGTTTTGGGAAAGAAACCCATTTGCATGTTTCTTTTAAAAAAAATGAAATAAGACCAAAAGTTGTCTTTAATTTGCATCCCCCGGGCTGCATTCCTGATCAGTGCCCATAATGTATGTGTTCTCCTCTTAGATCTTGAAAACGTGACTACCTTTTCTGCTCCAGTCTGTTTCCAGCTGGTGGATTTTGGTCGGTATAATTACTCATTTAAGTACACCATAAAAATGAGCTGATTTAGAGAACTGAGATGAGCTTATCTGGAGAGAGATGGACAGTGGAGTTTTCTATAGTCAATTCCAACTTGCTTGGGATTGAGGCGTAGTAGTTGTTTGTCAGGAAGGGGGTGACATAGTGGGTTGTTCAACTTTCTTACTTTACCCTTGATTAAGCATGCTTGTTAATATCTATGTTGTCTACAGACTAGCGGTGATTCGGGTGCTAATGTCAAACGCCTTGAGCAAGAAACATTTGCAAAGATCCAGCACTTGAAGACAGAAGCTGAAAGTATCTCCCACGATGTTGTCCAGATGCTACTGAGGCAGGTGACCACAGTAAAGAACTAAGATCATCCGTGAACTGGATCAAATTTGATTATCATTCTGCAGATTCTTGCTCCATTTGTGTTGTAATTTTATTAATCACTATCGGTTATCTTGGCCCTAGTCGAATAAAAGAACTAATTTACTGATTTTCTCTAAATTTTAGAAGAGAATCCCAGGGTCTTAATACGTTGATTCAATTATTTATTACTAGCATGGAGGTTCATCATCTATATAGAACTTTTTTTTTGTTGACATATTCATGTTTTAAGAAGTGATGCTCCTGTAAGGAGTTTTTGATGCCTTTCCTCCAATTATTATTTTAATCTTTGACGGAGTTTTGATACTCAATTGTCGAGTATCAGCTGTTAAGTAATAGAACAGTAGCAAAAGAAGAGAAAACAGAGGAGACTGAAAACAGAGAGAGAGAGATGAATTCAGATTTTCTTGTAACATGATAATTGTGTGACTTACAATTACAATGCTCTATTTATAAGTGCTGAAAATTAAATGCAACAAAAGGAATTATAGAATTTGAATAAAAATTGATAACTACTTTCCCACCTCTTCAGCTCAACTAAAATTTAAATAGTTCCACCCTTAGCCACTAATATTCGTATCAATACTCCCGGATGAACAACACCCTTGTCCTAAGGGTGAAGGAAGAAACGCAAGCCTTCAAGGCAGAAGCCAATTCCCGATAGCATAGGATGGATCTAAGCATGTCCATTTGATCAAGCATTGAGCGACAACTCTATTACCTTTTTTAATCAATTTGCGATCAAGAATAGCTTCAAGAGAGAGGCAACACTGGTTGGCTAGATTAACAACAGGAGGGTGAATAATGGTAGGAGCGATTTCATAACAGAATTTCAAAGTAGGATGTAGCAAGACCTCAGGAGGAAGAAGGAGTTTATAGGTTACTGCACCTATCTTCTGAACAATAGGGTAGGGTCCAAAATATCTTGAAGTGAGCTTGTGGTAAGGGAAAGGAGAAAGAGTGGACTGTGTATAAGGTTGGAGCTTGACAAAGACCCAGCCCCCCACCTTAAACTGTTTGTCAGACCTTTGGGAGTTAGCATGGGCATGTATTCTCTGTTGGGCTCGTGTAAGATGGAATTTGGCTAGCTGAAGTTTGAATTCTCGGAGCAATACAATTTCTTCAATGGAAGTAGAATCAGAGTCACTTGGCAAGTAGGGAAGATGAAGAGGAGGAGGGTATCCATATAAGAGTTCAAAGGGGGGAGTTTGAAAGGCAGAGTGAGGGCCAGTGTTATACCACCACTCAGCTAAGAAAGGAAAAGGGACAAGTCTGCAGGGGAATCAGTATAGAAGCAACGTAGGTATGTCTCCAAGCAGCAATTAAGGACCTCTGATTGGTCCATCTGTTTGAGGGTGATAAGCAGTGGAGGTTTGTAAGGTAACACCCTGAGCAGTAAGGAACTCTTTCCAAAAGCTGCTGATAAAAATGGGATCCCTGTCACTTGTGATCGTTGCTGGAAAGCTATGAAGTTTGAAGTTGTTATGTAAGAAAATAGGGACCAAGGACTGAGCTGTGTAGGGGTGAGACAAGGAAATAAAGTGAGCATGCTTGGTTAACCTATCAATGATTACCCAAATGACTGATTTGCCTTTAGACTTTGGTAAGCCCTCAATGAAATCCATAGTAATGTAAGTCCAAGGAAGAGCAGGGATAGGACTGGGTTGCAAAAGACTAGGAGAAACAACAATATCATACTTGTTTCTCTGACATATAGTGCAATTGTAAATGAAATTCACAATGTCACTTTTAATTCCCTTTCAATAGAAATAAGAGATGATTTTCCTTGTAGTAACATCAATTCCTGAATGTCCACCAGTAGGAGAGGAGTGCCAAAGTGTGAGGATTTTATTCCTTAAAGCAGCATCATTGCCAACCAAAAGTTTACCTTTCCTTCGAAGTTGTTGATTAATCCAAGTGAATTATTTCTGCAGAGTGTGTTGGAGGGAAGCAATAAGGTTAGCAAGCTAAGGATCTGCAGACCAACTATCCTGGATTTCCTTCCAAAGATCAGCCTGCACTGAGCTCATGAGTAATGACATGAGTTCATCACCTTGAACTCTAGATAATGAATCAGCAACAATGTTTTCTTTCCCTTTTTTGTACTGAACCTCAAAGTCAAAGGGGAGGAGTTTAGCCAACCACCTGATCTAGGAATCATTGTGAAGTTTCTACTCTAAAGATACTTTAGATCCTTCTGATCAGTTCTCATAATAAAGTGCTGACTTAGCAGGTAATGAGACCACTTGGTTACAACAAACACCAAGGCTAAAAGTTCTCTTTCATACACGGAAAGGGCAACATGTCTAGGTGCAAGACCCTTACTAATGAAAGCTATAGGGTGATTAGATTGCATTAGGACAATACCAATACCAGTACCACTTGCATCAGTTTCTACCACAAAGGGCAAGGAGTTGTTAGACAGAGCCAAAACTGGTGCATAAGTAAGTTCCATCTTGAGCTTAGCAAATGCTTGATCAGCAGAAACAGTCCAGTGGAAGTTATCCTTTTTTAACAATTCAGTCAAAGTTCTGATGATGAGTCCATAAACCTTTGATAAACTTCCTATAATAGCCAGCTAATCTCAGAAAGCCTCTCAGTTGTTTGACAGTAGTTGAAGTAGGCCACTACTGCACTGCAACTATCTTTTTAGGATCAGTGGACATACCTTGAGAAGAGATAAAATACCCCAAGTATTCAACACTAGAGACACCAAACACACAATTGGACCTCTTGGCTAGCAACTTGTGATGCACCATAACCTTAAATACCTGTTGTAGATGTTGAACATGGTCTACTAAAGTCAAGTTGTAGAACAAAATATCATAAAAAAGACCAGCACAAACTTCCTCAGGAAAGGTTGGAACAATTGGTTCATCAAACACTGAAATGTAGAGGGTGCATTTGTCAAGCCAAATGGCATGAGTATTCACAGTGGCCCATATGAGTCTTGAAGGCAGTCTTAGGAACATCCTCAGGCACCATTCTAATCTGGTGATACCCAAACCTAAGGTTAATTTTATAAAAGATAGTAGCACCTGTTAGTTCATCAAGCAGATCATATATAATTGGAATAGGAAACTTGTCCTTAACTGTGCATTGGGTTAATTCTCTATAGTCCACACACAGTCTCCATGTACCATCCTTCTTTCCTACCACTACCACAAGAGAGGAGAATGAGTTGTTACTGTATTGGATCACCCCCTGCTGCAGCATTTCCTTCACTAACTTCTTTATAATGTCCTTCTTCATAGAACAATACCTATAAGGTCTAATGTTAACTGGTTTAGACCCAAGTTGCAATAGGATCCTATGATCAAAGACACCTCTTTGAGGGGCAAAATAGTTGGTTCAGAAATACTGCTAGGTAGGTGCTGAGAAGATCATAAAGAGGTTGTGATACTACCTCATCTTTGGAAAGGTGGAGTGCATTCAGCTTAATAGATTGTGGTGGATCAACCATGACACATAACATGAAGAATTGTATCTCTTCCCCATTGGACTTATTAATGGCCTTTGGACTTGACAATCTGCAATCATCATAAACACCCTTCAAACATGCTGCTTACCCAAGTAATTATAGGTCATTGTAAGTGCAGAATAGTCCATAGTCACTGGACTTAGAGTTCTTATCCATAAAGTACCCAAGACCAAGTCATACTTCCCAACTGGAAATACAATCAAGTCTAAATGTACCTTCCAACATCCATTGAGAATTTCTAACTACATTAGAAGTGGCTTCCATGGTGTTGTTACCTAGGATGACATTTCCCACCTTGGTTGGAACCACATTGCACCCCAACCTCTTAGCTCATTCTGAGTCAATGAAGTTATGGGTACTACCTCCATCCGATAAAATCTGAATAGGCCTTTTGTCACTATAACCAGTAACATGGATGGTTTGGGCACCTTGGATTCCTGTTATAGCACACAGAGAAATGAAAGGTCGCTCACCTCCAAGAGATGACCACTATTCACTTGGTGATTCAGTCTTATACTGCTATTGCCGCTGTCAGTAAATTCACCCTCAGGAATTTCCAATTCCAAGACAAATATTTACTTTGGAAGAGTGCATATATGTCCTGGAGAAAACTTGTTATCACAGAAGTAACAAAGATTTTGAGCTCTTCTACTTTGCATCTCTGCAGAAGAGATAGTTCTCCTTGGTTTAGGAGCAATAGAGGTAGAATTAGCAGGTGAAGTCAATCTAGGTGGGTGTTGAGGCTGGTGGTACTGATGACTCTTGAGGCCTTGACTGTTATACACATTCTTCCTAGCTGCAGAGTATCCCCCAGATGAGTCCTGCTTTAAGGCTCTAGCATTAGCATCTAAGGTTGCTTCTGCTAACCTAGCTAACATGTAAGTTTTGGATAGTGATTTGGGTTCATGCATCTTAATAGGGTGTACCGGCTCTTCCTTCAAGCCTCCTAGGAAATAGTAGATGGGTTGCTCAACAATTACACTACATTGTGCTAGTAACCTATCAAATGCAAACTGAAATTCCCTTAGAGTACCAGTTTGTCTCAAATGCTTGAGTTCTAGCATAGGATCAACAAATTCCTCACCAAGTATTTCAATTAATTCCAATATATACTCATCCCAAGCAGGCAGTGTAGGCAAATATATACATTTCAAATAGGGCTGATGCCAAACTAAGGCATCATCATCCAAGTTCATAGCAACTTGTCTCACTCTCTAATTGAGGAGAGTTTCATCCTTAGCAAAGTATTTATCAATCCTATATAACCAGGTTTTTAGATTTTCTCCATTAAATCAAGGAAACAACAAGTTATGGCCACGGCTAGGGTTTACATAATAAGGATTAGGTTGACCTGATTGAAGTACTTTATCCCTAGCTATAGTTGAAGCAGATGCATTGTCCTTCGATTGTTGACTGAGATGTATTCCATCAAAGGAATTTTTCGGAGAATGCACTAGCTGAAGTAGCTCAGCATGTCGCTTTTCCAGATCCTCCCTTAACTCCTGGTGTTTCTGAGTCAATTCAGTGCGTAGATCCACTTGCTGAGCTACAAGATCTTCGTATTGTTCGTGAAGTTCCAATGGTTGGCTACCAGTTACCACATCAACTGCTCGTCGAGGTCCCATAATTCACCGGGCTCTGATACCATTTGATACTTAATTGTCGAGTATCAATTGTTAAGTAATAGAACAATAGGAAAAGAAGAGAAAAGGGGAGTAGGAGAAGAGAATGAAAAC